TTATATATTTACTTTATTTTATTCGATTTTCTTAAATTGAATTGAACCAATATTGCTAATTCAATAAAATTTCATGACCCCTAAGTGATTAACATGATGTTATACTGAGAAATGAAGGATTCGCATTAATTTGATAAATTTAAAAATGGAAAAATTGCTTATACAATATTAGTCTATTACTCTAAGTATTTTGAAATATTTTCAAAATCCATGCCTTGAAAAGCTATTTTACACAAATTTCGCTATGTTAATATCAGTTTGCTAGAGTGTTCTTATAGATTAGATTTTTACAGATTGATTCCTCCCTCTTTTGCTATTGCTGCCAAAAAGTGATAATGTAATCTACTTAAATTTGAAAGATAATGTTCTAATATTCAAATAGTGAGAATGATTCAAATTATGAAATAAATATACATTTCAAATTTATTGGAATAATATTGATAGGAAATCTTATCTATTTATTATACATTATAATTACCATTTATACGTAAAGTATATTTTTCTTTTGAATAAAGCAAATTCCTAATTTTTCGATTTATATATATAGGAAGTTTGCTAAGAAAATCAGGTTCTGAGAAGTTTTTAGTAAAATTTTATTTTTATTATAATTCAGTTTTTGATATTATTAGATTAAAATGTAATAAGGTCTTAATTTTAATCAAAAAATTCTCAGAATCTGATTTTTTTAACAATCTTTCTATATAAAATTAATTTTCTAATAATTTTTTAAAAAAAATTACCTCTTTCATTAATACTTACTTTTAAAAAAAAAGTCTTTTCATCAATATTTATTATATTTCATTCAAAACTTCAATCAAATATGATAAAAATTAATTGCTTTATATATTCAGTCAATTTTTTCTTTAATATTTTTAACAAAGTTCAAAACCTAATTTATTAACTTTATTAAGAATTTAGATAAATTTGCTTTTAAATAATCAGTATAAAAAAAAGATATAACATAAGTTTAGATTTTAAATAAGTAACAAATATATAAATATTTATAGCAGCTTTATTACAATTTTGTATTTAAATAAATAATTCATAATTTATACATTATTAGTTTAATAAAATAAAGAAACTTTTAATTTATGATTAAAGTTAAGCATTATTATTTTATATAAAGGTTATTTAAAATATAAATAATTGTTTTTTTTCTCTAATTACAAACCAAATATTTTACTTCTTTAATTCGTAATTCACTGATTATATGTAGATCATACATATAAGTTACATATAAAATTTTTAGGTTAATAAACTATAATCTTTTTTTATACTTCATGAATCTCAAGAAACTCATAGTATTTTTTTATACTAAAGAAATTAACTATATCATAAATTAACGGTATTACATTTAAAATAATATTTACACAAAAAAATAAAGAAAGTTTTTTGTGAAAAAGTCATATTATAGTAATAATTATCAATATAATTATGGCAAAATGATGTGAACTTACAGTTATGTTAATTTCTAATAGAATAATTGAACTCCACTTACACTATAGACTATTTTCATGAAATTGGTAATTTATTTCAATAACAAAAGGTGTTAATGATATAGGAATGATGTGTCCTATTCGTGTTGGCATGAAAACACAAGTAGAAATAAATAAAAAAAAATTTATTATACGTGTTTTAGAAGGAAATAAAAATGATATAAATCAATCTGGCTATACTTATCAATGCGATTCTGATTTCAGTGAAATTAAAGATAATCCAACTAATGCAATTACTTCTTTATATAGAAAAATTTTCAAAATTCAAACAAAAATTTCGGGTTCAATGGTTATGGGCTTTGATAAAGAATCAATATTTAGTGAATTATTACATGATATAGAATTTTATCCTTATTCAATTAGTTTAGCAGATAAATTATCTATTATGATCTTTAGTTTAGGTGCTTCTAAAAAGGAAGGTTAGATGGATTCTGGAGAGGAGTATATGGCTTCTTTTATTCATATTTTTAAAAAAGAGCGTTGTATATTTGTTTAAATTTGTAAAAAATAAATCTATAGTAGAAGTATAGAATAATAATATAAAAATTTCACAATATGAAGGTAATTCACTAGCAAATGTTTGGCAAAAAGTTGAAATTTTGAAAAAATATCAGGGTACGCAATTATTTAGACTTGAGCATATATATACACAATCTGTATTGTAACGATTATATATTCCTAAATGTCAAACATCTCAATGGGATAATAAAGAGCTAATGAATAATCTATATGAATACCATCTCAAAAGACAAACTAGTATTGAAGTAAATTGGTCACAATTGTTTAAACAATGGGAATCTAGTAGAAATATTATTGAAATAAATACAACTCTAGCTAATTTATATCCAAAAAATCATCAATTTAATGAACATAAAATGCAAGCTTGAAGTTCTATGCTTAAAGTCGCTGGCTGTACAGATATAACACCTTTCAATAATGATGTTTTACTAGTAATTATATTTATTTATTGATTTATTTAAATTACATCAAATAAACTAATTATAATTTATATATAATATAGCATAAATTTTGGATGTGACCTTTAGAACCTACAAATAATAAAAAAATGATGAAAGATCTTTTTCAATCAGGCTTTTTAAGTCTATACTCATCAAATATTCAAAATCTATCACAAATATTTTGGAATTGTTTTGCAAAAAGTTTAGCACAAAATCAAAAAAGTCCTGATGAGATATAGCAAATTTTATCTATTATTACACATCAATTTTCTTATTGGGAGTTACAAAACAAACTTGGGGTAATATAAATTTTTTTACATATGTATTATGAATTATTTTTAAAATCTAAATAAACTTGTTGGTATTAATTCAGATTTCACCTACAACTATCAATGCAGCAAAAAATATGCTACACTTAATGATTCAGATTACCAGCAAATTAATAAATCTGTAGTTATACGTAATTCACCTTTTACTAAAGAAATAGAAGATCAATTTGAAACCTTTTTTTCAGATAAAGCAAATATTAGTATGAGTTCATATAAGGTTGATCTAAGAACAAACTGTCCTATCCTTTATCTACTTAATCAAAAAGAATCTTTGTGAAAAAGATTTTCAGAAATTTATCCTAATAGAATGAAAGAACATCATTTATAGCATAAATTAAAGATGGTCCATATAGATATCATGAAGATTTAGAAGGATTATATTCAATTTGTGCAAAGTATGAATATGAAGTATTTGATGATTTAGCTAAAATTATAAGATTACATATTAAAAACCTTTTAATTTAAGTATGTAATTTATATAATTATTTGTATATTTTTCAATAAAATTATTCATAAAAAAAAAATAACTTTATTATATTATTATTATAAAATATAGAATAAATTACTACGAAATGTAGTATTATATAAAAAGAAAATATGTACACGATATTACTGTTGAAAGTAATGGTCATATTAAATATGATAAATGTATTGATCACTGTTTACCTTATTCATTTGGCGAATGTAAAAAGACACATAGTATCAGGTATTATCAATATTCAAATCTTTATTCTTTTTTTTGATGAACTAGAATCAATTCTTCCAACTGAGAAACAACAACTTCTAAATGATAAAAAAGAAAAATTACTTTATTATCTTGCATATCAAACGCGAAAGGTATTTCTTAATGCACAAGTTTAAGCAAATTTATTAGAATTAGATAATGATGACGCTGTACTTATTGTTGATTATAAAATGCGTATCTTACCAAAATCAGCACGAGAATCTAAGTCTGAATTTTTTGGGAAAAAGGGTTGGACTTTACATTCTATATTAATATATACCAAATCTGAAAATGATAAAAAATTAAGTATAGCTACATTTGATCACTGATCAGCAGATACAAGGCAGAATGTATAGTTTATGGCATTGTTATTTTATGCAGTATTTGATATTATGTGTTAATTTCAGATAATGGACCTCATTATCATAATAGTGAAATGATGCTTATAATAGCATATTGGAAAGATTGGTATAATATCAAAGTAAGAAAATGGATTTTTTTTGAAAGCTGGAAAAGCAAAAATAGCAATTGACTCTCATTATGTACAGGTTAGATCTAATTAATACATTATACTATTTATATATTTATTAGTATAAAAAAAATAATAATTTATTAGCATTAAAAAAATAATAATTGACTAATAATTTCATAGATTGCATATGCTATTAAAAGATATGTTAGAGTTGGATTTGAGATAAAAGAAGGCATTGATATAGAAAATGCAATCAAAGATTTGTGTGATACATTAATAGGAGAACTAAATCTTAATTGTGAAAAATCTGATAAAAAAATAAAGTCATTAGTTGGAATATCTAATATAAATGAATGGAAATGGCCAATAGACAGACCATTTGCAGGTTTCATACAAGCACGTTTATTGCCAAATATAGGTGATTTTACTAATTATTCTCTTACACAAATACAAAAATTATTAAATACAGAAATAATAAAACCCAATCCTATAATTTCTATACCTTTTAAACCAAAATCTTTATAGACTATACCAATACCAAATCCTGGTAGTAATTTATTTCAAATTTGTACTATATTACAATTATTCTGTATATTGAATAGTCACTAAATTATTTTTAGATACCAATTCTAAGCATATACGAATACACATACCTAATGAAAATTTGAAACAAATTAGCAATAAAATTATAAACGTAAGAAATAATTTTATATAAGAAAAACCCACCTTGTTTAATGTTACTTATTTTAAAATAGAGGTATATAAGAAATAATATATTGATCTTATTTGTAGCGTTGATGCAGAATTTCAACTTGCATCTGGATGAGCATTAAAAGCAAATCAAAAATTTAGAAAAAGAGGCAGAACAAAAATGTCAAAAAAGATTATACGTTGTTACAAGGTTTTTTTCATGCTGATAATACTGATAAAAGTGATCAATACTCAGCTAATGATATGTTATCAGAACTTATTCATATGGCGAATTTGATTCTGAAATAATACTAAAAGTAGAAAAAATTGAAAATTGGATTAGTAGATATTCTGCAGCATGTAAACGTGAAATGGCAGCTATAGCTTTAGAACGTCAAGAACAAAATTAGCAATAATACTCACATTGGTAGTATAATAAGCATTTCAAATAAAAAAGTATAATAAAATATATCGAATAAAAGTAAAAAAAATATAAATTTATAAATATATTATGCAGAAAAAAAGCATAAAAACTTATAAAAATGACTTTCAAAACATTTGCAATTACAGATCTGTACATAGAATTCCTACTGGAATCTGCAAATGCTCAAAGTAAAGCATAAAATAAAACATATAAAAAATGATTTTTTTTAGTATTCGTAACACTCTCTCATTTATTAATAACATTTATGATTTTTAGCAGGTTTGGACTATTCTAGAAAAAATTCTAATAAAATACTATTTTTAGTATTTAACGATCATTTTATATATAAATAGTAAAAATTTCTCAGAATTTATATATAAAAATACTACACATGATCGGTGAATTACGAATTAAGTATGAAATATGTTATAATAGAAATATATCAGTCATAATATATATATTACCGATTTTATAATAATAATATATAATGTTTTATTTTTAAGTATTTCTAATACTAATTGGCTATATTTCTTTAATATTATATAATCTAATAAATTGAACCATTTGTTTTAAAGTTATTTGAGAAAGATCAATATTTGCAATTTTATTAATATTATTTATTAACGTTAATTCTTCTATTATATTATTATTAAGTTCTATCAAATTTGTCATATAATAATATGATGATTGATTCATTTTATCATAATGCCTTTTTGACATTATATGTGTAAGATACTATTAAAGAGATTTGTTAATTTTAGCAAATAAAAAGTTTGTATTACTTTGATTTTATATATTAGAAATAGACAAACACCAAAATTTATATTTATTTTTCTTATCTTATAAATCAAAAAGTTTTAGAAATTTCGACTCTAAGGTCATACAAAAGTAAATTAAAATTGTATTACAATTTTTCAAGCAAGCATTTACAGATTCAACTATCATCTCTCTAGTAAATTTAAATTTTGTGAAATAATAGGCCCAATA